CGCGCGCGCCCGCCCTTACCTTGAGTGGACGCGGCCATTTCGGTGAGCTTGTCTCGCGAGGACACACGCAGAGGATCTGCGCGGCAGGCCGCGGAGTGGCGCTCAGTTGTCGCCACCACTTGGCTTCCGGCACGTGGGGCAGATGTTTCCATTCCCACAGCGGCAGCGGAAGAGGGCGGGCCGGGCGCGCCGCGCCTGCTTCCAGTCTCCGCAAGCGGCTACATCACAGAGCTCAGCGGGCGGTGTCACAGGCCCCGCAGCCCCGCCCAACAGATGCACCGAGATGCGCGTGCGCAGAAAGCTTCGCGGGGGTGAGGCTCCCTCCCTAGTTCTCCCCCTACTCCCCACCTCAGTCTCCCCAAACCACCCCACACTGTCCCCCATTTTCCCCCCTCCACCAACCACGGCCGTCGGGGCTCGCTCGCTAAGTACCTGGAGGCGAGTTCCTGACGCGACTGCGACTCAATCCTCACCTGGTGAAGAATATTTTACCTATGACTCACTGAAAATAAAGACGGCTGAGTGACCGTGTTTGCTCATGTAAACATTGAACAAACATTTATCGGCTCCTGCGATGTGCCCTACTCTTTTAGTGGAGGAAGACACATTTTATTTATGTATTTAATTTTTCTTTTGAATTTTACATGTGAGTTATACTTAATAAAACTGACTTCAAAATATATCTTCAACAGAAAATTCAGCAAGTTTCTATTATGTTAGTTAAAACAGCCAGTCTTTTCCTTTACTTTTAAAAATTATTCATAAATGTAATTAGTGAATGATAATAAACAGTGATATCTGATCCACTACTTTAGGAGTGACACAATCAAGCTATTTTCTTTATAATCACTGTGCTATTGTTTTCTTTTTCTTTTCAATTATACTGCTTAATATAGGATTTTGTAGCACCATAGGAGTTGAGTAAAAATAAATCGGTAGTTGTGTGGCTGTAGGCAAGCCATTTAACCTCTCTGTACCTCAGTTACTTTATCTGTGTCCACATTGCCGTGTTGTCATGAGGATTAAATCAGATAGCCCATGTAGCACCTGGCAGAGAATTTATCACCCTGTACTGTAACTGTCTACTTTTCTGTCTCCTCCATTGCACTGTTATTCCCAGAGGATTGGGAACTGGGATTTCTTCAGTTCTGAGGCATAGAAGTATAGCATAGTGGTTAGGAGCATGACTTCTGGAGCCAGAGTACATGGCTTTGAATGCTACCACTCACAAGCTGTGTGACCACGGGGAAGTTGCCTAACCTCTCCGTGCTTCCGTTAAAATGAAGGTAAGAGTAGTACCTGTATTTAAAAGCACATAGAATAGTTCCTGGCATGTAGTATCAGCTGTCGTCTCTGCATCCTTGTACCTGTTGGAGAGGAGTGTTTATCAAAGGGATTTCTTGCCGCCTGTTTCCAAACCAGTCAACAGTATACCAATTGCTCCTAAACACATTCTTGTTTGTGCAGAACTGAGCTCAATGATAACGTTTTTATAGCAACCCTGATCAAGTTTCTTCTCATAAGCTTTTACACTTTGAGGCCCCTGTGGGAGACCTCACTCTCCCTAATACACATTAACCTGAGTAGGGTGTTTGAGCTCACCATGGCTACATTCTGATGTAAAGATTCTATACCTGGGCCAAATGTAAACAACCCGGAAAAGTGTTAGGTTAAAAACAAGACAAAATAAATAAATGAATAAATGCCAGGTGGTTATGAGTGCTATTGAGAAAAATATCAGTAATGCAGGTAGGGTAAAGAGCTTACAACATAAATGTGGTGTTCCGTATTTAAACCTCATTCAACAGGCAAGATTTGAGCTGAAATGCGAAGGAGTTGTGGGAGAGGAACTACGTGGAAATCTAGGGGAAAAGAAATAGCAAGTATTGAGGTCCAGGGGCATGAGTGTGCTTGGTATTTTAGGGAAGAGTAAGGAGACCAGTATAACCAGAGTGAGATGAGACTACAGAGGTCAGGAGAAAGGGCATGCCAACCATGTGGGATGCTCTAGTACTTAGGCCATGGTAAAGATGTAGGGTTTTACCCTGATGGAGGTCAGAAGCCATTGGAGGATTCTGAGAAGAGGAGTGGTAGGATTTGCTTTATAGTTTTAAATTATAACTATAAATTATAGTTTTTAAAACAATAGTTGCCTAACCTCATGTTTTATGTAAAACTATAGTTTTAAAAACTATAAATTCCTCACACTAGCAGCAGTGTGGGGGGCAAGTGCAGAAGCAGAGAGACTAACAGGTTGCTGGTTACTCTTGCTAGTGCAAGTGAATTCTACAATCTTCGACAACATCCAGAACTTCTCTTGCTGCTGCCAATCAGGAAGAGGGTTGTAGTAGACTAGGAATAGGAGCACAAATTAAAGCTCCTGTTCACTTTGACTTATCCATCCCTCTCCTCCTTTCCTTAAAGGTTCTGATTAAAGCAGACTTCTCATGCCCCTACTGCTCTCAGAAGTGAATGGGTTAAGTTTAGCAGCCTCCCTTTTCCTACTTCAGTTCTTCCTGTGGCTACTTCCCACTGATAAAAAGGAAGCAATCCTGTGGGTTACTGCTTAGTGCTAAGCACATCCAGTGTGTAAAGTTCCTTAAAATGCTCTGCAAAGAAATAGGCACTTTTCATTAAATCAGAAATTTTACTTTTTTCCCCTCCTGAGAGCTAAAGATATTTTAAAGAAGAATTAACCTTTTGCTTCTTCAGTTGAACATTTGTGGCAATAAGTCATGCAAATAGAGCTCTCCACCTACTTCTTTCTGTGCCTTTTGCGATTCTGCTTTAGTGCCACCAGAAGATACTACCTGGGTGCAGTGGAACTGTCATGGGACTATATGCAAAGTGATCTCGGTGAGCTACCTGTGGACACAAGGTAAAGGCATGTTCTGTGGGGTCTGATGAGGGGCCAGGATTGTGGGGGTGTAAGTCTGCTTGGAGGAAGGTGCAGACATCGGGTTAGGATGGTTGTGATGCTACCTGGGCCCCAAAGAAACATTTCTGAGTAAGTTGTGCTCACATCTGTGTTATTAGCACAAATGCTAATTGCCAGTTCTTTTCATAGGTCTGACCTATTTGTTGATATTTTGTTCTGTTTTGTCCATTGCTCCTCTTTGTCACATGCTGCTCCTCCAGAATCTAGAGACTGGAGTATAGGGAGGTTGAAGGGACAAAGACAAAACTTCCCTCTGCCTGCCCAAGCTTCCATAGAGAGAAGGCAATGAAATCCAATCAATATCACACACGAGTTTCATGTCCGGGTCTCTTGTGGGTACATGCGATGTGTGTTTTTTAAATATCTTTTCTACTTCGGGTGTAAGGATAATATGAGCCATGAGGTCAGAAGCTTTTCATGTTTGGGGCTTTCTGGTGCATTTAGGGAGAGTACTAAATAACTATCAATATTGTCTATGGTCATCAGTTGATTCAGATTTTTCTACCTCTTCTTCAGTAAATATTGGTATATTTTTGTCTATATTTTGGTCTATATTTTCATAGAAAGAAATCTATCCCTAGATTTGATAATGTATTGGTATCAAGTTACATGTGAGTCTCTTGTGATTTTGTTAAACTGTTCTGTGTCGGTAGTTATATTTCCTTTTTCATTTCTTATGTTGTATATGTTCTCTTCTCTCTTTTAAAAATAATATTTCCAGGAGTTTTCTTGATTTTATTGGTCTTGTCAAGAATTTTCTTTTGGTTTGATTTATCAAATCTCTTTTTTCTTTGTGTTGCATCAGTTTCTGCTTCTACTTTCATTAGTTCATTCCTTCCTTCTAATTTCCTTTGGTTCATTTTGTTGTTCAATTTTTGCTTATTGAGTTGAATGTTGAAATCATTTATTTTATATTTTGTTTTGTCTTCTTTAAATGTGTATTATAAAGATTTAAATATAATACATAGATAGTGGCTATGTAAACATTAAATGTGATCATATTGTACATACTTTATGGTCTTTTTGGTTCTTTCTGTTTGGCTCCCCACCCTCTTTCCACATCAGTCCCCTTTTCCCCCACCTCAACTGGGTAACCCCGGTATGATCATATATATTCACATACACATACACACAGACAAAGGTTTTCTTGGACACTATTTGTTTTATAAAATTAGGACATTGTACACACATTTCTCACTCATTAACACCTGCTAGAACTGTAAGTCAATTGGCATACCCTTAATTCATTATATTTATTGGCTATATAAGATTCTATGGTATGGCTGTATCTACGTTCACTTTATTCCAGTTTTTGGCTACTATATCCTATATCATTGCATACTGGCGCTTTTACTTCTGTCGAACTAATTTGCAAGACGAATATTAATGGAACGAAGGGAATGTTTCCTTCTAAGTTTTAATTTCCAAAGAGCCAGAACTTTTCACACATTTCTACCATCGAAGTATGAAAATGGCCTTCTCTCTGCACTCACGTAGTGATAAGTTTTATCCTGTTTTTAAAATTTGCCAATTTTACAGGTGTGGAGCGATATTACATCATTACTTTCATTGTGTTATTTTTATTTCTAGTAACTTGAGCATCTTTTTAAATGCTTGTTGGCTATTGAATTTATTTGGGGGATTTAATTAGTCATATGCTTTGCCCATTATTCTTTGGACTCTTTCATTTAAAAGAAAATTAGGAGAACCCTTTTATTATTACAAGTATTAACTCTTTGTCATGTATATTGCAGTTTCCCCCAAGATCTATTGTTTGTCTGTTGACTTTGTTATAACTTTTACCAAAACAGTTTTTAATTTTTATAAGCAGAAATATATTTTCTTTCATGTCTTCAGAGTTGGCAAGGTTGGTTAAAAATGTTTCCCACACCTCAAGATTGTACGTGTAGTCTCCCAGATTTTCTTGCAAAATGTTTACTGTTTTGCTTTTTATATGCATTGCTTCAATTATCTGCTAATTACTTTTGTCATATGGCATGAGAGAGGGATTTGTCTAGTTTTATTTCCATCCAGATCAATAGCCTATTATGATGGCACCTTTTGCCACTGATTTGAATCAACACATTCATCATATAAAGTTCTCATATATATTAGCATATATTTCTGGATTCATTAGGCTGTTTCACTAATCTAGTATTATCTTGCTATGCCAATACCATAGTGATTTGATTACAGTGAGCCTATGATATCTTCTGATATCTAGTGGGTGAAAGCAGTCTTCACTATTCTTTTTGTACCTTTCTTAGCTATTCTTAGACACTTTATTCTTCCACATAAAACTGTTAAGATATTTTTCAAATTAAAAAGATCCAAGCCCTGTTGTGATTCTAACTGAAATTTCATTAAACTCATACCTTAATTTTATTAATATAATAAATTTAAATATTTTTCTTATTACATTTATCTCTATGTATTTTATAAGTGTGATGCTATTGTTAATAAGATAGTTTTCTCCTATTTCCATTTATGAGTGCTTAGTACCAGAATAGAGATAAGCTATTGATTTGTGTTTATTCAGCTTTTTCTTTTGAGGCAGGGTCTCATTTTGTCACCCAGGCTGAAGTGCAGTGGAGTGATCTCACTTCACTGCAGCCTTGACCTCCTGGATTCAAGCAATTCTCCTGTCTCAGCCCCGCAAGTAGCTGGGACTACAGGAGCAGGCCACCATGGCCGGAAAATTTTTGTATATTTTTTAGAGATGGGTTTTTGCCATGTTACCCAGGCTGGTTTTCAGCTCCTGAGCTCAAGCAATCTGCCCACCTCAGCCTCCCAAACAGCTAGGATTACAGGTTTGAGCCACTGCACCCAGCCATTGTATATTCATCTTAAATCTAGCTACCTTGCCAAATTCGCCTATTAACTCTAGTAATTTTACCCTAAAGTCTCTATGAGTATTGAATCATATCATCAGTGAAATGAGACAGATTTTAGCTCATTTCCAATGTTTATAGCCAGTTATTTCATTTTCTTATCTTACTGAATTTATTAGAAAACAGGAGAAAATGTTAAATAATAACAATAAAAGTGAACGTTCCTTCTACTCTATGTTTACTTGAAATAATTTTTGTATTTTGCTATTTAGAGTAACATTTGCTGTTTTGGTTTTTGCAAATGGTGCTTGTTACTTCTATTCTCATTTGTCACAAAATATTTATCATAAATAACTTTTCAGTAGCTGGTATCATCTGAACTGTCTTCTTTGATATGTTGATAAATTATGTTAATAGATGTCCTGACACTAAATACACTTACATTCTTGGAGTAAAATCTGCTATTCATGTAATTTGATTATTAGTGGGTTCTATGTGCTACTATTTCTTTAGACACTGTGTGCCTTTGAATGTGGGATTGATCTATAACTTTTTTCTTTTTTTACTATTATTAGTGGATTTTCACGCTCAGCCTACTAATAATAGTAAACAAAGTTTTGTTGGCTTTATCAAATGAATTGATGAGTACTCCATCTTTTTCTATTGCTTAGAATAGCTTAAGTAACATTAGAATTATCCATTGTCTAAAAGTTAGGCGAGACTCACTTATGAATCCATTTGGTCCTAGTGACATTTGCAATGTCTAATCACCCCTCCAGGCTCTTCTATGATAATCAGTCAATTCAAGTTTCAACTTCTAATAATTATATACCTTTCTAGGAAGTAACTTTATTTATTTTTTCAATTTTGTTGTGACAGTGTTGCATGTAGCACTCACTCATGATTCTTTTACTCCACATTATTTGTAGTTATGTGCCCTTTCTTATTCCTAAATTCCTCTATCTTTGCTATTTATCTTTTCTCCTTGAATAAGTTTGCCAGTGATTTGTCTATTTTGTTGCTGGTGGTGCTCTTTTCGAAGAATGAGCTTTTGGATTTATTTTTTTTTCTAGTTGGTATAAAGCATTTTTATTTTCACTGAGCAGGAAAAAAAGCTATTGATTCATTAACCGCGTTGCTTTATTGGCATGTAGCTATGCACTGTTCACACATTAATATATAACTCCTCAGTCTGTTTTATTTTGTCCGATGGGAAAACATGAACAGTGAGATTTCTTATGCAAAAAGTGAACAGCTCAACTACACTAATTCCATATACTTTTATTAACATTCCAGAGACTTGTCCTCTCAACATGATCTGACCTCTGCTGGATAACTTTTCAGGAAAAGTATTTTCTGATCATTGGAGCTTGGAGATATAAATAAGCAATCGGCCAAGTATGGTGGCTCATGCCTGTAATCCCAGCACTTTGGGAGGCCGAGGTGGGCAGATCACCTGAGGTCGGGAGTTGGACACCAGCCTAGCCAACATGGTGAAACCCCATCTCTACCAAAAAAAAAAAATTAGCTGGGCATGGTGGTGCTCGCCTGTAATCCCAGCTACTCAGGAGGCTGAGGCAGGAGAATCACTTGAACCCAGGAGGCGGAGGTTGCAGTGAGCTAAGATCACACCACTGCACTCCAGCCTGGGCAACACAGTGAGACTCCATTTCAAAAAAAAAAAGCAATATCTCTCATATACATTAACTGGACCTCAACTTTCCTAAAGTTCATCCCAAAGCTGAAGTTCATGAAGGCACTTGTTGTCAAACTAGTTCATGAATCACTCGAGAAGCTTATTAAAATTTAGATTCCTAGGCCCCATCCTCAGCAAACTATTCTATGTAGTGGAAACCAGCAATGGTGCATCAACACTCTCTCATGCTTGGAATTGCTCTGACTTCAATTTTCCGTGCATATCTCTGGCCTTTTTTGCCTCTCTCTTTTACTTTTAAGGACCCATGTGATTACATTGGGCTGACCTGGATAATTCAGATTACTCTCCCCATCTCAAGGTCAGCTGATCAGCACCCTTAATTCCATCTTCAAAGTTTTAGTTTGCCACATAATGTATTTTTGGTCATCATACCAAGGAGCAAAGGTGATGTG